CCTTCTTCCTGCATTTTGGGTGGGGTCTGTCTCCCTCCCCTTACCTGGATCCTGCCACCTTGTCATCCCCAGCTTTCCCTCATTCCAATCTTAGAACAAAAAAAATAATGAATAAAATTTGTTTCTTTTTACCAACCTCAAATTTTTATCATTTAATAGGAAATTCACCATTTTTGTATTTAGGAATATCCTGACTTCCAGGAAAAGAGATTAGGTGACTTTTCAGGGTATGTTTCAGATCAACAATTTAATACAAGTTTGCTCAGCCAGTAACATAAAAGTAGAATCTAAATCCTCTGTGTGAAAGTAAATCCAGAATACTTAGCAGACAAAATCCTACAAGAAAACTTATATTTTTAATAGGTTCTATAACTGGCCAAGGAATCTTGGTGGCACAACATTTAAGTGTTCAACTGCTAACCCAAATGTTGATGCTATGAACCCACCCAGTAGCTCCATGGAAAAAAGACCTGTTTCCATAAGGATTAGAGCCAAAAAAAGTCTTTGTAAGACAATTCTACTCTATCATCCAGGGCTGCTATTAGTCGGAAATCAGCTCAGTGGCATCAAGCAATAACAACATACGTTGCACAGGTCCCTAGGTGGTATAGATGGTTTGAGCTCAGCTGAAGAAAGGCCTGATGATATGTCTCCATAAAGATTACAGCCAACAAAACCTTAAGGAGTAGTTCTACTATGACACACATGGGATTTCCATGAGTCAGAATCAACTCAATGGGTTTGTTTTGTTTGGGAATACACTGGTTGTATGTATTAGCCCCATGCTTTAACTTTATGGTTGTTTGTGATCACCAGCTTAATCCTTCTAACCAGTACTCTCCTCCATCAGTCCAAACCTTGTAAAATTTAACCAAAAATAAGTAAATCCGAAATACTCAAATTAAGAAAAAGGATTTATAGGGTCCTTTCCATAAACCAGCATAAAAGTTCCTAAATATTTCTAAATGCCACTTTCATCCTATACAAACTGCTTTACCTTTAACATTGCCACCCATCATCCAGATTTCTCAAAGGAGTTTTCCATATCTATTTTCTTTGATTTCCTTCTACCATTTACTTTATAATTGACAGAACTCTGGGCTGGAAATTAAGAATCACCTTTGGGCTC